AACTGTCTTTACATGCTTGAAAGAATAAATAAATTTAAAAAAATTAAAAAAAAGATCCTCTGAACCTGTTCCTTCTGTATCACAGCACTTTGTACCCACGCCCTGGGTTACACAGGGGGTCACACCCAGTCACACACAACCTCCCCCCTATGGACAGACACAGACCTGGACCTCACACCTCTTCCTAAAGACTGAGATTTGCACTGAGCTGAACCTCATTATGTTACTACACTCTTGCTGTAACATGCTGCTGATCTGATTAGGTCCCATACATTTTCATTTTATCTGTTATTTTTATATTGACTTGTACAATTTTTGTGTTATTTATGTAAATAATGTGTCTTTTAAGCCAAGAGCTTCTGGAAGAAATTTCGTTGTGCTATGCATAATGACAATAAAGATTCTTGACTTGACTTAAGGATGTACCAGCAACTTTGCTGAGCACCTTCACAAGACCCTGTAAATGACAGATAGTAACCTGTACCAACAAATAAAGGAAAAGATAACTGATTCAATAAAACATCTTCATAAAGTGGTGTCAATATTAAAACTGTGAAGCTTAGGATAAAAATGCAAACGATGATGTGCTTTTTTTCACACACAGCATCAACGTGGGGCTCAAAGCACGGCTTGCTGTCGGTCATGGTACCGAGGTGTTTGTACTGCTGCACCACTTCGGGAGAGACGGCAGTGGGGGTTTCACTAAAATGAATGCACATCTCTTTTGTTTTTGCCACATTAATGTTTAAAAAGGAGGATTTGCACTAATCAATAAAATCACTCTCAACAGGACCAGGCCCAATGTTATCAAGGAACTTGAGGAAACAACAGTGTTGCTCATTTGGTGAATGTAAAAGTCATAAGGATAATAATGATTGGGCAAGTGTGTTACAAGGAATTTGTTTCTGGTACAGAACCAATGGCAGCCATCTGTGGCGCCAACTCAACCGATGGCTCTAACCATCGGGGGGGTTCAGTGTCTTGCCTAAGGACACTTCGACATGTGGACTGGAGGCACCGAGATTCGAACCTTCAACCTTCCAGTTGGGAGGCGACTGTGGTTCAGTGGGTAGAGCAGTCGTCTTAATAATAATAATAATGATAATAGAAAGTAAGTTATCAAGATTGTGAGAAACACTTTATGCAACACTGGTGTTTATATGATGTAAATTAATCATCATGAACTGAATCACTGTGTGGCGTGGCGAGTGGTGCTGTGGCGAGTGGTGGAGTGGAGTGTGGTTCTGTGGGGCGTGGTGCTGTGGCGAGTGGTTCTGTGGGGCGTGGTGCTGTGCCTTTGTTTCCTGTGTGAGACCAAACTGATGCACATGGCACTTTCACACAGAAACACAATAAAAATGCAGTAATTACAGGAGAACGTGACAAGAGGCTAAAATCAGTACACACACACACACACACACACACACACGTGCACAAACACACAGCAGTTATTAGCTGCAGCCTTTTGTTTCCCTGGCAATAAAACAGCACAATCCTCTCAGTCACACCGACATAAAGCACAGCAGGAAGGTGTCTGTGTGTGACTCGCAGTGTGTGTCCGTATCTGTGCATGTGTGTGTGCACAGCAGGGTGTGCCATGCAAACTAACGTGTGCTGTGTGTGCGTCCGGTGTGGCTGGTGGTGGAGCTTGTGTTAAAGAGGTCTGGAGGCTCCAGCTGTGAAGAGACGGAGACGAGCGCCTGCCTCCGTCAGCAGCCCCCAGAGCGCCGCCGCTCAGAACGACTCCGGAGTCAATCTGGGATTTTAATCTGTTTTCAGCTGTAAGAAAAACGACTGCTCCAGCTATTTGATGCTGCAGCTCTGCTGAGCCTCTCACTGTACATTTGCATTCTGATTTTTATGTTGTCTAATGTGAAAGCAGCTTTTCAGAGCAGACGCCTCCTCACGGCCCGTTTGTGTCCAGTAAGTCCCAGTGGCTGCCTGTGGTTTTTGTATTGGACAGAATCTACTGAGGCCAGTTTAACTCACGACTGAGCTGTGTTTACGCAACGTAGTTTTTCTCTCCGATACGAGACATAGCTCTAACTCTCAGTTACAGTATATTCAGGAACTGTGTGGAAATAATTTCTGGAACATTAGATACAAATACGAGATTAGTTAAAGTAATGTACTACTATTACTGGTTAACCTAGTACAAGTACACAGATGTAGGATCTGACCCAACACTAAAGCCTTTTTAAACCAGTTTATGGCTAAGTTTAGAAGCTCAACATCTGGACAGAGTGGTCCAGCTGTTCTGTCCCGCAGTGGCCCAGCACCATTCCTCCTGTAATCCACTTCACCGGGTTATACTTCTACTTCAGAGGTTGTACTTTTTACTGCAGTACATTTACCTGAGACCTTTTGATAAGTATTATTTTGCCACGTTCAATTTTTCACACCTTCCTGTCAAGTGAAAACCAAATTTGGTAACAATTAATTGTTAGGTTGAATAGATTCTCATCGGACGTGAAATATTTACTGCTCTGTTTACACACACACACACACACACACACACTCTCTATACTTACTACTCATCACTGGGTTTTCCCGTCACTTCCAAACAGCCTTGTGCATTTTAACACTCACTGACCTCAATTAACGTAAACAGTCATCTGAAGTTTGGGAGCGGAACCGGATCTGAACTACACCTCTTCTGTTTTCAGACTATTTAACCCACTCAAACATCCATAATTCCACTTTCACTTTTCGTTACCCCCCTTTTTGATTCTTATCTTTTCCCCTCTCCTGGCTAGGGGTCTGCCAGTTCCCAAAAGCAGCGCTGACCTCCTTGACCTTCCCCAAAGCAAACAAGTGCACACAAACATTCAGTATTTTCATAGTTCATTCGTCTTTAAACTTCCGTTTGCACTCGGTGAGGCGGGTCCCTGCTGTTGTGCATACGTTGCCAGTTATCCATCCTGTCTTATCAGTATCGTCACCGCATCATTACAACCTCAGACAGCTGTTACTGTCAGTGTGTCCTAGTGCTGACTGGCTGAGGCGGAGCTCTGAGCTAAACTGACACGCTTGGTTCGCTGGTTGGAGCTGGTCTAATGCTGTCATGTCAGGCTGCTGAAAATAAAGCAGCCGCTTTGAATCCTGATACTTTCTTCCATTTGATATTCATGGGGTCGAGCCTGAAACTGAAACTGCTGCTCCTGATTCCATAGAGTTTGTTGTATTTGATATTTTTCTTCTGACAGCAGAGAGCTCATATATCTCCGCTTCGGCCCGAGGAAGCTGCAGTCATCGCACAGATGGCAACGCGAATGC